CAACTAAAAAGAGTATTCAGGCACAAGAGCAAGATGGCTCAGCAGCTGAACACAACAATATAATTAACCATTATTGGAAAAATATATTTACTAAAAGTTTCACTTTTTAAGAGTTCAAATTTAAAGTGCAGTTACTAAACATACTTATAGCATTTTAATAATATAAAAACATAATTATTACAATACTAAAAAGGATATGTTATAAGATTGATTATATTTAAATAAATAAACATTTATAGATTTCAACGCTATATCACAATAAATAATTTTTAAATGGCATTATTTGCACGCATTTTTATATATTATTTATATATTTTAAAGATGATTTTTTGGTCTATAAATTCATTTTACACTTATGTATTCTGTTGAATTTTTCGTGGTGATTCATTTCGTCCACGAGAAGGGTATAAAGTTTTTTTCAGTTGAATTTACCCTTAATGTTCACAATTTTACCTAATTCAAGAGGTGGCATGGAATTGATCCACCATGGCCACACATACACGTTGAAGCACAAGGGTAAGTGCGAAGTAACGTGGAGGTGCACGACTAGGTTGTGTAGAGCGACGGTAAAGACACCTTTAAGTGTTCTTAATACCGGGGAAAGGGTGGGCGCTCAGGTACATGGTACTCACAACCACGAACCAAGGCTGGATAGAGCCATTGGAAAGGTTGTGAGGCAACAGGTAGCCCAAAAAGCTGTCTTGGCCGATGATTCAGCTCGTGATATCATTCATGAAGCATTGATAGGTCGCAATCAGGATGTGATTGCAGCAGCTGGGACCTACGACAGCCTAGTACAGTTGGTAAATCGTAAGAGGAGAGATTCTGTCGATCCCAACGATGTTGTTGAACCTGTATTGAACATAGGTGAAGACCTAATGTTAACGGTGGGTGGTAAGAGATTCTACCAGTTTGGCCTGAATAACACTCGTGGTATAGTAGACTCTACCAATATCATTGTTTTCTTCGCTGAAAACATGATAGAACCACTTGTACACGATTTCGACCCTTATGGATCACCATGTACTGCCTGTTGTCTTTGCTCTTCTTCCTTCTAAGTCACAAAAGACTTATGGTCTCTTCTTGGGGCATCTGAACCAGCTTATACCCGGGTTAAAACCCGGTGTTATAGTATCTGACTTTGAGATGGCAGCCATTGCAGCATTCTCGACAGCATTTCCCAATGCTAGAATGACTGGCTGCATGTTCCATCTGGCACAAAGTGTTCAGAGGAAGCTTGACTCATCTGGCTTTGCCTCTGAGTATACGACCAATCCGGTTGTTAAGAGGTATGTGCAAGCTTTGAAGTGTCTGCCTTTCGTGCGACCTTCTGAAGTCAGAGCTACCTTTGAATGGCTTAAAGGGATGCCTGACTTTCCTCGTGACTTATTGGTGATTTATCACTACTTTGACCAGACCTACATAGGTTCACTTAGTGCAACTCCTCGTTTTCCGCTCCTCTTCTAGAACAATCGTCTCAATGTGCTTGAGCAGCTTCCTCGCACGAATAATGCAATCGAGGGGTGGCATAATGTCTTCAGATCTTCGTTCGGGAGACTGAATAAGACACCACGAAGCTTCGTCAAGCAGTTGATTGAAGAGGAGGAGAAGATTAGGCAGAAGTACCAGCGCCTAATGATCGGTGAAAACCTGAAGAGGAACAAGAGGTATCAGAGGATCTCTGAAAATCTTCATAACTTCATCATTCAGAAGAGTGAAGTAGAGAAACAAGAAGCAAAAGAGTACTTCTTTAAGCTAATGGGATTCATTTACTATTAAAGAGCCTGATTTCTACTATATTTCCTATTGTTTATTTTTTAACCCTTCTCGTGGACGAAATGAATTGGACGAAATGAAGTAGTACCGAATTTTTACATTATCATTACGTTTTACTTTTTGACATACTTTAATTACACAATACTACTATTGCTTTTGTATTCTGAATCGGGATCAAGTCCCTTTTTCCCCCATTTCAGTTTAAGGTCCCTTTTTTCCCCCATGGCATTTTAGATCAAGTCCCTTTTTTTCCCCATGGAGTTTTCTTAGTAAAAATAAAAACATGAATTAGAGTGGTTTATTGGATCCTAAGAAGCTCAAATAATGCTATCAAGCCCATTCTTTTCCCAGTATTGTGCTTCCACATGAACTCACACAACAGTTCATCCAGTTTAACGCCAAGAATCCCTTTGTGCATCTTAATGTTGTACTTTCACGTATTCCGCGTTGACTCAATATTCTGAGTGTAGGTGCCAGTAACTGGGTTCACAAAGCTCTCACTGTGATTAACAGTCTCATGAGTGAATCTGTGCTTATCAGATATGCCCATGTATGCCCTCCATTCATCACTGTTGATGATGGTGCCTGGAAGGCATACACGCTCAATGATAGGCAGCAATGTGGAGGCTTTACGATCATCTACCACGTGCAATGAGATTTTAGCTGGTGTAAAGGACACATCAGCCAGTCCAAATACCCAGATCTCACGCCCTGGCTGTCTACCTCGATGGTACTTCTGTTTGTGCCTGAACAGACTTTCGTCTATCTGGACCACAATACCATCCCCGCCGAGCTTAACAGGTTTTTCTGCCACACTTAAACAGCAAAATGTGCGCAGACGGTCAATTATTTTCATAACGACCTTCCTGTTAAGGTTCACCTCGGTCATGATCTGCACTTGAGTGTGGTTATTAAACCATTTACAGCACACCTTAATGATACTGCTCAGAGGTGCACTGAACTCATTGAGGAACGACTCGGCACGGATTGAGTGATACTTTGAGTATCCACTGCAATCATGGTTGTAGCACCTGAACGCCATTCCATCTTTGTTGCGGGTGTATGGCTTGCATACCATGTCAACAGAGCACGTTGGACATGCNCGGCACGGATTGAGTGATACTTTGAGTATCCACTGCAATCATGGTTGTAGCACCTGAACGCCATTCCATCTTTGTTGCGGGTGTATGGCTTGCATACCATGTCAACAGAGCACGTTGGACATGCAACCACTCGCTTCAACACTCCTCTAACTCTGAGGAACTCCACGAGACCCGCAACAGGCCCATTCATAACAGGTTCCAGCACATTCTGGTAGTAGCTAAACATAAGGGTAAAAACCTACTAAATATAAAGGGTGGATTTTTACCTTAAAATTTCTAAGGTCCCTTTTTTTCCCCACCCTAGAAAATATTGCTACAAAAAAATTACCGTAAAATTGCAAGGTCCCTTTTTTCCCCACGTGGGGAAAAAAAGGACATGATCCGATCCCTGAATCGTTTATTGGTATTTATTTATAAATCATTTTAACTTCATGATCTTTTAATGCGTGTTTTAAAAATCTATAAACTGTAGAACAGAATAGGATAATAGGCATCAAATCCTTTTTTATTAATTTTTTAGAATAAAAACATAAATTATTGTAATTGCATTAAATCCCTCATCCAGTTTAACACCAAGAATACCTTTGTGCATCTTGATGTTGTACTTGCACGTATTCCACGTCGATTCAATGTCTTGAAAGAGGTTCTCCGTAACTGAGTTTCCATAGCTTTTGATGTATATGTTTTATGAACATTCACCACACACACAATGAGATTCTAGTGATCTTGAAAACATATCGAACAGTCCAACACACAGATCTCATGCCTTAGCTACATAACTCGATAATGTTTTTGTTTACACATGAACAGACGTTTATTTATGAACTATAATGATGTCAAAAACGGAACAAACGCAAACACAATTTTTTCTCACTGGAACCACCGCGGTCACATTATTATATTCCTTTTTTAACCTCGTGTCTCTCGACATGTTAGGCTCTGAAACCAGAAAGGCCTGTTATTACTTTGGTCGACTGGTAATTAGCTAATGCTTACTGTCTTACAAGTCTTCGGCGCTTACGCCAGTTCTCTCTTAGTGTGGCTACTGTTACAACCGGGAGCTGTGTCCACTTGCTGACCGGTATTCCTAGGTTGGAGGCTTCTCACATCAACCTCTTCTGACTCATCACATTACCATTTATTTTCTTGGTCATTGTGGTAGGTGTTCATACAAGTAGAATTTGATAAACGAAACCTCTATACCTGACGCGATTACGACAAATATTATCTCCACCTAACCTTTTAGGATTCTTTACTTCAAGTTCTAACACACTCAGATAATAACATAGCATAAGGATACGAACATATAGATTTCAAGGGTGATTTTTATATTGACAATCTAAGGATCATTTCATACTTTCTTGCTACCACAACAACTATTTCAAATATCAGCCTCATTGAACTGAAGCTCTCCTATTTCTTCATTGGGAACTCCTATGGGTTGATATCATTGAGACTTATGTCTATTGCTGCTTTGATCATGTTTCCGTTCCTTCATTCGCTTACACTTTAGGGCCTTCCTACTTGCGCATATTAATAAATATTGGCATGAGAATCATTTTTCTATTAAAAGAGGATATCAATAAACATTTAATATAGAAGAACGTTCTAGTGTAGCCTGTAGGAAACTTACCAACCTTCAATGTCTTCCGGATAAAATTTTTTGAAGGTCAGATTCAAAGAATGTAAATCTTATCGGGGAATCAAACAATAGTAGCCTTTGGCGAAGAATAAAATAGTCCCGACAGAAAACTACTATGTTCAGCTTCACAGACTATACTTTGTTAGGCATTTACCCATGTAAGTATATTTTGCCTCTAAAGTAGATGATAGACAATGCACCTTTTGTATGGGGGTGCAACCAATGAATTCTTCACATCAATTATTCTTATACTGCAGTTCAATCATGTTTGCCATCTATTCATATCTTTGAGTTCTGTTACGGTCAATCGGCAATGTTCATCTCAATATTTTATCTATGTATATTTCAGCTGTATTTTTGGATGTCTCTATAATGCAATAACATCCTCTACTGAAATTTCCAAGATTAACAATGCTTACATCACCAACCTTATGGATATATTGCTTTGTGTCACTTGCAATCACAATGAAATTTGGATGTTGTTTCATCAGAAAATTCGTTTTGCTGAATGGATGAACTGAAGCTTGAGATAAGTAGCTCTCCATAAACGATTCAAACGGCTTATCATTGACAAACTCACCTACGCCTTTGTATATGTGCAAGTCAATGTCTGTGAATAGTACGCTTTTGTCGTATGTCTCTATGATACTTGGATTTGTTACTTTGCGCAAAAATGGATCACTACTCTTCTCTGTAAACTTTCTAGGTAGCAAGTTTCTTTCGTTTGTCTTTCGAATGACAACTGTATGCACTGGAAAACTCGGCAGTGTAGTCTCATCCTCCAATGCTATTACAAACATGTCAGGTTTGTGCTTCACATATATCTCATATATGTGACTATCCATATTTTCACAGCCGTTTATGAAGCACATTTTGATGTTTCTATTCTCTAAAAACGTATTCATATGTGTATCAACTTTGATTTCTGGTAATTGGATCTTCGACACTTTGAATTTCTTATTGTGTAATACCCCGTAAAATCCAATGAACATGTCTTCGTGTAAAAATCCTCTGCTTGTGCAGTCATATAGCTCGATTTCTATTAGATCGTGTTCATCTTCCAAAACCCAGTTGTTACTCTTGTCTCTATAAAGACATCCAAAGATGCTCGATGGTGAATCCTGTTTTAGCAGCCCAATATTTGTAATTTTTACGTTGCTTGTGCACTGTGTCTTGTAAAACTCCATATTACTTGTGAAGCTTCTTTTCTTATATTTGAATTCATTCACCTGGAAGAAACTACGCTGCTGGTTCTTGATGTCTAGGAGTTCGTCAACCTGAGAGAATTTTAGCGTATTGCAATTATATCTTGTCTTGAATGCATTTAGAAATCTTCGTATGGACTCTGTATCGTGCAGCTTGTTTGAAATATGATCCAATGTCTCCATGTTCATGTTTATTCCATTATCCTTTGTGAACATTTTGTAGATGAGTTTTTTCATGGGTTTCAAAACATATCAATTTCAAGAACATATAAATAAACATTGCAAAACAGTGGTGTTTATGTACAACAACCCTATGATATGTCACGTGTCACAAATTTTACTTACTCTTTTTGCTTTCTCTAAGGGTCTTGCTCAATAACGCGTCATATTTGTCCTTCAGAGTTAGATAACTTTTTCTATTAGCTTCAATCTGTCCTATTTCATCTTTATATCTGTTCAAACACTTCTTTAGGCGCTCTACCTCCTCCCGATAATTCTTGTTTTTCTTTTGCTCCTCTTCATATTTTTCTGCAATGGTCTTCAAGAATATTTCAGCATTTTTGTGCTGTTTTAGCACATATTTATAGTCCTTGCTCACTGCGAATCGCACATGTATGATTTTCACTAGCCTAGACAAGTTAAATGCTAAGAATAGCACAAAACCTGAGAGATACATGTTTCGTTGCGATTGAAATTCTAATATCTTATTATCTGTGATACTCAGCTTATAAATTGAATCAAATAGTACTATAACTACCATAACGTACAACACATTTAGGACGTGAGATATTGCCTTAAATGCTATGCTGTTAGAATATACACGTAGAAACCAGTGCTTCAGTGCATCAAGCCATGGAAACAACAGAAACAGATTTAGTAATATGTTTATACCCATTATTCCATGAATGACTGCAATTTGGATTTCCATGGGGTCAAAAAGAAAATAATTTTAAAATGGCTCAAACATTTACTCAGAAGATGTCTTCATCTTCAATGGAAAGTGAACTCAGGTCTTTTTCGTCATCATCGAATTCCTCCATGCTAATCCTATATCTCAAAATGCCACCTAAACCACCAAAACCTTCTACAAACTGCGTACCTTCTCCACTCGCATCTGTTACAAATGATAGTTCACATCCATAACTTTTGTAGTTCTCAGCAATCCAGTCAACAAAGTCATCTTCCTCTTTCTTCAGCTCAAGACCTTCAAAAACAATCAGATGCTCCACAGCACCTGATTCTAATGCGTCTATTGTTCCCTTAAATCCATAACAGTATTTTCCTGTATCCATGTGAATCTCATGGAGAAATGACTGTAAAACTTTCTTTTCCTTTGCAAATTTCACGTCTTTGAGAATTTCTTCTGACAGTTCAATTGCCTGATTCAGACCGTTTCTACCACCGTAATTTGTATCCACTGTCTTAATAACAGTAAGTCGCTGGTCTATCATACTCTTTAGCTCATGTTTCAAATCAGCCTGCCCTGCCAGAATTAGCCCCTCTACATTGGCCTTGCTGTTTGTTACGTAGAGATTTGTGCATATTTCATTGACCTTTTTAACATAGGCCAGTCTTTTTTCAACACGAAGTCTTGCAAATCTGACTGATGATTGTCCTCCCTTGTTGTGCTTCTTTGGTAGATCCACTGTAATTGTTTGTAGAACTGTCTGTGTATTCCCCTGTAATGTTGCAAACAGTGTACAGTGACCATCCATCACCACAAATCCATATTTTGATTCATCTTCAAATAGACATAGGAGATCTTCGATGTGAAATCTGCTGTCACAGAGATAGAGTGACGTATTAACTGGCTTGACGGGTTCGATTCCATGGGCGACCTTCTTTATTTTGTTGTCGTCCAATAAGATTTCCCCTACAAAGACACCAAGTCCATTCTTAGGCGTCTTTGTGTATGTTTTCAGCTTGTTTATGGTGGATGTAATTGCTGTCTGTACGCTCAGTCTGTTTACTTTGCTCTTTATGTTGGTGGCTGTGCCATATTCATCTGTTAACATTTTAGTGATTCTACAGATTTGTTCCTTTGGAGGAATCACGAGTGATATCATGCTTGTACCGTTTCCACGAGCATCTCTCAATCTTTTGAGCAGCTTTTTCTGCCTAAACACTTCAATATCGTCGCATAGCATTAAGTGTAATAGGGCGTAAATTTTGTAAAATTGCTTACTGCAATAATAAAATCCCTACTACACAAAAATAGTGTTACAAGAAGATTCCAAGCAACCGTGAATGATGTTTTGGAACAATTGATTATTCCATTCTTATTGCTGCGTCAGGAGAAAAAGCAAGGAATGCTTTAATTTCTAAATAAGGAAAAGAACTATAATTTTCACCCATCATCTAATCTACTAATGTATTAAACTATCTCCCAAAAGTATACAGAGAATACTTCAAAGAATCAGAGGAAAAGGTGTCACCTGACATTCACCAAACAGAGGCGCGAGAAGAGCCGCCAAGCGAGTGCCCTGCTGATACCGCAGAGGAACCCAATGTAAAAGAAGAATCTATTGAGGAGTCTACAGAGGTCTTACTGGTAATGAGGGAGTCACAGCACAGGGCTGACCGTGGTAGTGTCCAATACCTCTTCAAAAGCCTCAATGTTAATATTCTTAGCTTGATCTTTCTTAGCTTCAGTCATTCATTGGGTAACCTTCTTTTGCATATTTTCCTAAAATAGCCAGTGCCATAATCAAGGTGTATGATTATACTCCTTGTTCATTATCATTTACGTAGACTTATCTGATTGATCATTTGTCATTAGTGGACTGGTCACTTTCCATTCTGTGCACAGTAACTAATAGGTTTTATTGCAGTATAACTTGGTGTTATTTTCAGGCCCCTCAGGGCTTTCTACCTGTTTAACAATCTTCTTCGAAGTTCCCATTTACTGATCGTGAGGTTAAATCCCATTTTCTTTTATAACCGTGATTTTTTATTTGTTTCTCAATAATCAATCAAACAATCACATGCCAAACTGCGGTCTCTCGGGGTTTTATCTTTAGGCGTAGCGTGAGCGGCGTTCGCCACACTTGGTGTTATTTTCCGTGCCTTCGTCTACCTTAATGTCTTTTACACCTTTCTTAGTTGAAGCCCTTTACTATCGTAGGGTTCGAAACCCTCTGATTATTTATACTTGTTATTTGTTGATTGTTTGTCTCTTATCAATTAACATGTCATGGTTCTCCGAGGCCACTGGCTCCGGCAGACCCTCCGTCTTATGCTCACTATTCTTTCTTGTTGCAGACATTTATTTAACGATGGGTTCCCCTGAACCTATCTTATTTATATTTATTATTTGTTTAATACATCAACAAGTCACTCCTTTGTTTGGCAGTCTTAGTCGTATGACATGTTGTCCCTGCAACACATCTATTTGCTTTTAAGCGTAGGAGGAACGGCGAGCGCCACACTTGGGACACCGTGATTTCATATGCTGTTTAACTGGGTTTCCTCATCTCTTTCGAGATAATCCTTCTTTTGGCTTGCTCCGTGTTTGTTTGCTTGCTAAATAGGTTCATCTGTGACAACATCTTCAATTTGCATGTGAGGTAAAACGGGTTAAACGATGCCACTTCTTACTATACTGACCTAATATATTCACATCACCTTTATTATTTCTAAGCAGGTAATCTACAAGGGTAAAATATTACCAAAATTTGATAGATGCGATGATCTCATAGCCCTCTACCACGTATACACTTGGTAGGTATGTGTTCTGATCATTTCTTTTTCGTATACTCGCTCTGCACATTTCCTATATCCAATACTTGTGATAAATTTCATTCAAATATCGATAAAATTGGCAGGTTCCATGACCTTTTTGCCACAATTACCATAACGGTTTTCTCAAACCCTAACAATCCAATATCATTACTAGGTTAGATGTAATATACTCAGTTACATCAACACATTCCACAACCATATTCTTTCTAATGACATACGTATCTTCTGTTTTTGTTGTTCTCACTCATTCTTCTAAATCAGGGTCATGTTATTTTATGCACAGTGTTTATTTACTATTGCTTTAAATAAATTCAAAATAAATAACCCATGGTTAAGGAACTACCACCGCGCAAGCACAACAAGATCGTGACATGGGCCGATCCGATTGCTGAGACCAGGTTGTTTGTGAAAGAACCGTCATCTGAAGACATGCGTGACATACCCGAGGACAGCGAGTATTATGCATATGATGACAGTGAGGAATATGACACAGATGACGTGTTAGAAAATGGAGGGATAAACCAGGGTTCAGGGGTGGCCCAGGTTACTAAGGAAATTG